CAGTCTGCAGAAATACTTTCACTTCAATGGTGGGATGGAGAAATAAAATGATATATATTCATAAAATAAAGTATTTTGTGCATAATACAGAATAATCTTAATTAAAAACATAATATGAATGAGGTAAGCCAGACTCAGAATACATTATTTCATTCACAAAACATTCAAAATCAGATACAACTTTGAGTGATGTATAAGAGAGTGATAAATTATAGAGAGGAAAGTCAGGATAGTGGTTATCTGTATAAGGGAGATAGGGGTTAACACTGGGCAGGGGTTGTAGGATAGGTCTTATAGAGTGCTGGCTAGTCTATTTCTTTACCTGGATGGTAGTTCTGTGGTACCTGCTTTATAATAATTCATATGGGCCCTGGCCAGGTAGCTGTTGGTTGGAGCATCATCCCATACACCAAAAGGTTGGGAGTTTAGTTCTCAGTTCAGGGCACATACCTAGGTTGCAGGTTGATTCTCAGTTGGATCACGTACTGGAGGCAACAATCAATGTTCCTCTCTCACATCATTTCTCTCTCCTCTCTTTCTCTCTCTCAAATCAATAAACATATCCTTGGGGATAAAAAATTCATGTAGTAATTGTACATATATGTTTTATATTAGGGGTCCTCAAACTACGGCCTGCGAGCCACATGCAAATACAAATACTGTATTTGTTCCCATTTTGTTTTTTCACTTCAAAATAAGATATGTGCAGTGTGCATAGGAATTTGTTCATAGTTTTTTTTTTTTAAACTATAGTCCGGCCCTCCAACTGTCTGAGGGACAGTGAACTGGCCCCCTGTTTAAAAAGTTTGAGGACCCCTGTTTTATATATTTATGCATGTTATATTTCACAAGAAAAAGTTTTTTTTAAAAACTAAGTTCTCTTTTGTTACTATGTAAGCAGACAAGTGTACAAGCAGGAATTCCAGTTTTCCAGTGGAGACCTGGTGGAGGCTTAGGCTAGGGTGGAGAAGCAGTCAGATTTAGGAACATGTTTTAGAGTTAAAGGTAACAGAACCTGATGTGGAGTGTGAAGGAAAAAAAAAGACAAAGCAACAAACACACTGACAGTCATAAAACACAGTAAGAAAGTACGCAACAGAATGAGCTAAGCTTTTCAATGCTAGGCTGTGCGAGTGGGTATTAGATGGAGGGCTTCTGTCCAACGGGTTAAGGGAGGCTTCATGGAAAAGCTGGGAAAACAGACACTTGACACAGACGATGGAGAAAATGGATGCGGGGATAATTCAATGAAAGGGAGCAGCTGAGAGTTTACAGGTAGAATAGTAATATGTACTGTTCTGTACTCTTTTGTACATTTTATTTTTGAGACATTTCATACATCATCTCTCAAATAGGTTTTTTTTTAAATCAACTTATGACTATCATTTAAATCCACAATAAAAGGTGTAGTACATTACTTCAGACACAGTGCCATTCCATAAATTCTGATCGAACTATGAAGACCTCAACAAGCATATCACACGTATCCTGGAATCCAGGATCAGCCATGCTAAGCCAACACGAAAAAATGTGTGATCCTGGTTGCCTCTATCACAAGGACTTTACACTATGTAATACACATTAATAACTACAGCATTGGCTTAGTTTTAGCTTTAGGATGTTCCTGGATTTTTTTTTATTTTTTTATTTTATTTTATTTTATTTTTTTTTAAATATATATTTTATTGATTTTTACAGAGAGAAGGGAGAGAGATAGAGAGTTAGAAACATCGATGAGAGAGAAACCCAATCAGCTGCCCTCCTGCACATCTCCTACTGGGGATGTGCCCGCAACCAAGGTACATGCCCTTGACCGGAATGGAACCTGGGACCTTTCAGTTCGCAGGCCGACGCTCTATCCACTGAGCCAAACCGGTTTTGGCTGGATTTTTTTTTTATTATTTTGATACAGCTTTTCCTTATTGGGTAGACTGGTGGGTGTGGTAATAAAGGGCGTTATATAGAAATAATATCTAGAAACAGAAGTTTGTGAGAAGGGAGATTTCTCAGTCAACCCACTTTATCTAGGAAGGCTTCCCTCATGAGTCACAGATGATTTGAGAATCATCCAGAATTCACAAGAGAAGGCGAGAGAATTGTTTTTCTGACTTGTGGGAAAATGAGAATGGGCTAAGCAGTGATTTAAAAACTCTTTGGTTTTAGTGTTTGATTTAGGCATGACTCTCCCTTTCCTACACACTAAATATAACATTAAAAAACGTACTGTTGGACTGAATTTGCTTAGAGAGATGTTTGTGATCCCCCTAGAGCACGTAAGAGAACTGAAAAGGAGAACACTGAAACCAGTACTGGAGAGAAAGTGACGAAGGGAAGATTCTATTAACTAGAGCACAGGCCGAGTGAGATGAATAGCTAGAAATCACACAATGTTAACTGTGAACCAGCCACCATTCTAAGGACTTTACCTGTTTTAACTCATTTAGTTCTCACAAGAATGCTGTGAGATCATCCTCATCTTATAGATGAAGACACCATGGTACTAAGAGGTTGGGTAAGTTGGCTGAGATCACAGAACTAGAATTTGAAGCCAGGCATTCTGACTCTAGAAATCATAATCTTAGGTTGGATAATATCTTTTTCTTAGAAAAAGGGGAAGAAATAGCATAAATCCCGGAACTTCTTTGATTCTCCATACTGGTACTTAGAAACTATGGTGGCATCCTATGTAATAAAAGCCTAATATGCTAAGTGTCTGGTCGTCTGGTCAGCCGTTCAACCAATCAAAGCGTAATATGCTAATGATATGCTAAGGTCATTCAACTGCTCCGGACTGAGCAAGATGGGCTGGACACGCCCTGGAGCCCTCCCTTGGTCTCTCCCCACCCCGATCGTGCACTGGTGGGGTCCCTCAGCCAGAATCCAGGGCCTCTCAGGGTATGTCGGAGAGCTGGTTTCAGCTTGATCCCACAGGCCAGGCCAAGGGACCCCAGTGGTGCACGAATTTGAGCACCGGGCCTCTAGTTTTAATATAACATACTATGACAATTATCTCCTCTACTTTATCATTATTGTTTATTCCTTTGGATTTCCAATGACAGCTATATCATCCTCTTGGATGACTTGCAGAGTTAAAAATGTAGCTGACCTCAGCTCTATATTTTTTAACCTAACACATGTTTGCTATTTTTAAAAGTGTTGCATAGCTTATTCAAATTTGGGGGAGGGGGGGATCTGCTGAGGTTTTTAAGTTAAAGATCCAAGATAAACAACTAGATTTTTGGCTTCCAAAAATATTGAAATAACTTACAGCTATGTATTGGATTTGCTGTGCTATGTCCCTTAAATTGTAGCACTTTAAGGAGCCTTCCGGAGCGATTAATACACTAATTACTAGAGGTCACAAAAGCTAATATAACTGAAGTCTTCTTTTTTAATCTCCTGCCAGTTGCCTGATTACATAGTTCTCACAAGAATGCTGTGAGATCATCCTCATCTTATAGATGAAGACACCATGGTACTCAGAGGTTGGGTAAGTAAGTTGGCTGAGATCACAGAACTAGAATTTGAAGCCAGGCATTCTGACTCTAGAAACCATAATCTTATGTTGGACAATATCTTTTTCTTAGAAAAAGAGGAAGAAATAGCATAAATCCCAGAACTTCTTTCTGGGAAGAAAAGCTACGTGCATCGGGGAGGGTATAGTAGGATGGGGATCGCCGGGTATGTGGCCGGTGTGTCTGCCTCCAAGATTAACAAGGGAGTTAACCTTTTCATGTTAAAACATCTTGGCCCATTCCCGGGACGGAGAATGGTCAGCATTCCTGAGGCACACTCCCGAAGGGGGGGGGATCAGTGTCCAGACACGGTGACCAGGTCAAAGTGCACCTTCTTTGCTCAAGACAGAGCAGACACATGCCCTAACGGTTTGGCTCAGTAGATAGAGCGTGGGCCTGCGGACTGAAAGGTCCCAGGTTCAATTCTGGTCAAGGGCATGGACCTTGGTTGCGGGCACATCCCCAGTAGGGGGTGTGCAGAAAGCAGCTGATCGATTTCTCTCTCTCTCTCATCAATGTTTCTAACTCTCTATCACTCTCTTCCTCTATCACTCTCTCTTCCTCTCTGTAAAAATCAATAAAGTGAATTTTTTTTAAAAAAAGACAGAGCAGACATGATTTATATCTAAACATAAATAGTGGCCCACTCTCCCCTCCCTGCCCCCATCACTTGCACTGAAGAGTATGCCAAACTGTGGGAAAACTATTCAGCTTTCAAATCGGGGAGAATGGAGAATGGTGTTGCTGGGAAGCAACTTTTTCTGCGGGGCTCCCGAATCCCGACCGATGTGAGCTGCGGATAAATTGCACCAACGCGGCGAGGTATCGAATTCTTCTGCAAACGGCCACCCTCACCCGCAAAAGCCTGGAAAAACCTATCATCGTTGGAATCAGAGCTGCTGTTCCTTAAATCATGCGCTTGTGTTTCGGGCAAAGCGACAGGGTCCCTGCTTTTTACAGCCTCCCCCGGAGATGCTCGCCCTCCAGCTCCGGCGCCTCCCTGGATGCACCTCCGGAAGCTCCCCGGCCTCCGCCTGGACGTCGGCCCAGCGCCCCCGGCCGGGCTGGAGGGAGGGGAGGGGCGGCCCGAGGGGAGGCGAAGAAGGAAGCGCCCGGCTCTCAGTCCCCCTTTCACCGCGGCCCCCGCGACGCGCCCCTCCCTCGCGGGGGGCTGAGGTTTGGAAGAAGGAAGCGGGGAAGGGCTCCCGCTTCGGTCCCGCACCCGCGGCGCCCTCATGCCCCCTCCCTTCTCTTCCGCGGCGGGGCCCCCGGGCGCCCCCTCCCTGGCCCTCGCCCCAGGAGAGGAGCGGGCGGCGCGGGCGGGCCCGCGGGGAGAGGCCGCGGGGAGCCGAAGGGCCGAGCCCGGCCGCGGAGACCCCGAGCCGCGCGGCTCCGGGCGAGCCAGGGCCCAGGGCGGCCCCCGGGAGCGCGGCGGCCGGAAGCGCGGGCGCGTCACTTCCGGGCGGTGCGGTGGCGGCCGCTAGGAAGATGGCTGCGCCCTGTGGCTCGGAGCGGCCCGCCAACTCGCCGCTCAAAATCCCAAAGATGGAGGTGCTCTCCCCTGCCTCTCCCGGTGGCCTGAGCGACGGGAACCCTTCGCTGTCCGACCCGTCCACGCCTCGGGGCGCCTCCCCGCTCGGGCCGGGCAGCGCGGCGGGCTCGGGGGCGGCGGCGTCCGGGGGTCTCGGGCTGGGGGGCCGCAGCGCGCCTCGTCCTGGGGCGCCCCGCGGCGCCTGCCGCGAATGTCGTGGACGCGGCCGAGACAACGCGCTCATCGCCGTGTGGGGCAACGAGCGGCTGGTGGAGGCGCGGTACAGCAGCTGGAGGGAGCGGGCACGTGTTCGGCAGCAAGGCCCCGGCCGGCCATGTACGAGCGCGTGTCCCGGGCCTGGCCGAGCTGGGCTACGAGCGGACCCCGTCCCAGTGCCGGGAGCGCATCAAGGTAACCGGCCGCCCGGCCCGGGGCAGCGAACCCGAGGCGGAGAGGAGGCGGGGAGCGGACCTCGGGGGCGGGGCCGGTCCCAGCGCGGGGCTCCCTCCGGAGCCCGGTGGGCAGTCGACTCGCATCTCTCTCGCCTTTTTCTTCTCTCCCTGGGAAGGGTTTTTTTCTCCCAGATGGCCGCCAGCCCGTAGGTTTCCTGAGTTTGAAGTTGGGCGTGCCTGCCGCCGCCCCTCTTTCTTGCCAATGGAAGGCGTTCCTGCGCCCTCAAGTTGCTAGTTTCTCCTCGCGCGCGCGGAGAGCATCCCCGAGCCCGGCGCCTCTCCCCCCGCCGCCGGGGCCTCGCTTTGTTCCAGGCCGAGGGGGCGCCCAGGCTGAGGTTACCTGGCAGGATTGAGGCCGGGTAGCGGGGTGGGGGCGGGGGCGGGGGGCCGGTGGGCCCCCAGTGTAGGGATTCTCAGATGAGTGCAGTGGCACAGCCAGACGCAAAGCGCCTTCAGATGCCTGGCCTTTGTGCCGGTCGCCTTGCTTCTAACTGGAGGTGCTTTGGAGACTTGGAAAGGCTGGAAGGGAGCCAGGTAGCGCTGGTGCTGGTGCAGTTCGCGTGGCTGGAAGTTGGTCTAGAATTTGGAGTGTCCGTGCCTCCAGAGTTGGATTGGCTTGAGGCGTGTTTCTGACTTAGCTCCTTCATGAAAGCCCGTTTTCCCCCCGATTCGGTTGTTGTGGCCAGAAAAGCGCTCAGGGTGCAGCTAGCTATATCCTTGTGCACGTGAATGTGGTTATCATTTTGCTGTTTTTACCGACTTTTCGCCTAGGCATTCCAGTTTGCATGTGTATTGTAAGTTGATGCGGAGTTGTGTTTTAGGGGCAAGTTAGGGCCCTCATCACAGGGTCTGCTGAAAGGTTCTGGTAGGGTTCCAGTCTTCGCTGAACCCCTTCTCCTTCATAGTCATGGTATCTCTCTACTTCTTTTCTGATAGGGATGGCACTGTTTTCGGAACTCCTTGGGGTGGGGGTGGGGGTGGGGTAAAAACCAAGTAAGGACAATGGTAATCACCCTGAAGGAGGAGGAGATTGGTCCAAAATTTAAGAGGTCTTGGCTCAAGTAGTGTTCATCTGGGGGCATTGTTTCTTAGAAAAATTAGTCCAGAAACTAAGACATTTCAAACTTATTAACTGTTGAACTTGACACCCATTTCTCAATTACAAAATTAAATTGGCTTACTTGATAACATGGACCTTTGGGTCTTATGACACCCCCCCCCTTTTTTTTTAAACAGGAATGTCATAATGGCAGTTTATAGACAGGATTTGAATTGTGCAGGTCCACTTATATGCGTATTTTTTCAATAAATATAGAGTCGGTCTCCATATCACCAAGGTTCGCATTCCCAGATTCAACCAACCCTGATTAAAAACGGTATTTTATTTTCGCATTCCCCACCGTTGGTTGGTTGAATCCGCAGGTGCAAAGGGCCTACTGTAGTTGAGGTTTTGGGGAGTCAAAAGTTTTTTTCTGGATTTCCACTGTATATGGGGTCAGTGCTCCTCACCTCTGGGTTTTTAAGGGATCAACTATAGTAGCTAATAGTAGTCACTGTTCTCTGAATCTCAGTCATTCTTTTATTCAAGGGCTGTAAGGTTCAGGGGGGCAGAGTTTTTGCACTGTGCCGACTAGCTTCTATCTGTCAACTTTCCTTGAGTTTAGAAGTGCACCTTAGGCATTTGTGACTGTTTTAACTTGATTGATTTTTGCCCATAGAATTTCCCAATCAACAGGGAAAAGTGTTATGCTCTCAAAAATTCACTGAATATAAACGTATTTATGAAATTGTTTCTCAGATGACTAGGAAATCTCTAGTTGGGTTGTGTCTTTGTCCAGTTATGAGAAACTATAACCTAAAGCAAGGAAAGGAGATTGAGCTTCTCTGAAGAATATTTTTTAAAGGATCAGTTTACCTGTCTCCAAACAGATAAGACCAAATTGACCTCAAGCTCTTAGAATATTTTGAGAATATGTAGATGATGATAATGGGTTCTGTGATCCACAATAGCAGTTGACAAGGAGGGCAGATAACTGTTAAGGGCTGTACTCCTTAAGTGACTTCAACCAAGGAACAGACTTCTTCATTAACAGTGTTGGTCTTTCCTGTCAGAATCATAAGCTCTGTAAGGGCAAGTTCTAGTCACTTATTCACTACTGTATCTCCAGTGCCTAGCACAGGGGTGGGGAACCTTGTTTTCTTCCAAGGGCCATTTGGATATTTATAGCAGCTTTTGCAGGCCACACAAAATTATCAACTTAAAAATTAGCCTGCTACCACTAATAGATGTGTTTCTCTCACATTGATATTTCTGTCTTTCCCTCTCTCTTCCAACCATCTCTAAAAATCAATGGAATATCCTCAGATGAGGATTAAAAAAAATAAAAAGCAATTTAAAAAATTAGCCTGCTATACTAGGACAAACATTTAATTAACTCACCTCTAATGCCTTGGCAGGGCCAGACCAAATGATTTCGCAGGCCTTATACAGTCCTCAGGCCGGATGTTCCCCACCCTTGGCCTAGCATATAGTAGGTTCTGGAAACATATTAAATTCACCAAATAAAGTCTAAAGAAGAATTTTGGAAAGTATAAAAATCTAGAGCAGCCCTACCCTGTTTTGCTCAGCGGATAGAGCGTCAGCCTTCGGACCAAAGGGTCCGGGTTCGATTCCGGTCAAGGGCACATACCTCGGTTTCAGGGTCTTCCCCAGCCTGGGCTATGGTCGGGGTGCATGTAGGAGGCATCTCTCTCACATCGATGTTTCTGTCTTTCCCTCTCTCTTCCACTCTCTCTAAAAATCCATGGAAAAATATCCTCGGATGAGGATTAACAACAATAAAAAATCTAGAGCAATGTTACTTAAACTTTAACCTAAAAATAGAGACTTTGAAACCCAGTTTGAAAACTAAGCTCTGTCCCTCTAGGAGACTTAGTATGAATTTAATTTTAAGCATAGAAGCAAATGTGGTCAGTGAAATCATAGCCTTACACAATTATGAGGTGGATGTCCCAAGTAATCCAGATTATGTTTATGAAAATAAAAACCTTAAAAAAGTCTCAGCCCAAACCCCTGAAAGTAAACCTTTAGATTCCAGTTTCAGAAATGCCGATTTAGAACAGGTAATTCAGAAAAAACTTTCACTTTATTGTTTTGATGAGACCTGCAAAAAGGAATTCAATAATCTCTTTTGCTTTAGATTTTAAAAAATAGAAATAAAGTAGTGCAGTAAAATGGACTCTGAGGAATTCTTAATCAGACTAATATAATGTGCTCACTTCATGTGAATTCTGTCAGAGGCCCACAGGGAATATGTAGATAATGATAATGGCTCATCACAGTGTGCATCAGTTATATTTCTGGTCTGATATATATGAAATATCTATCAAACTTCAATTATGAAAATGCTAATAATTTCTTCTAAGTTTGAAAAGAGGGAGGAGATATATAGTAACTTAAATTTGTTTTTTTCAAGAAACTTTCCCCTAATCATAGTTTCAACATGTTGATAGCAGCTTTCATCTCATCATGTGAAGGCATCAGAAAGCTGGGTCCTATCCCAGCCTCTTTCCCGACCACCTTCCCGAATAACCTAAAAGCACATCACTCCCCTTCGCTGGGCTCGGCCTCATTCCTCTTATGTATACACTAGAGGCCCGGTGCACAAAATTCGTGCACTGGGGGGTCTCTCAGCCCAGCCTGCGCCCTCTAGCAGTCTGGGAGTCCTGGGAGGATGTCCCACTGACGGCAGTCAGACATCCTTAGCACTGCTGTGGAGGCAGGAGAGGCTCCCACCACCGCTCCTGCGCTCGCCAGTGGTGATCCCAGCTTCTGGCTGAGCGGCACTCCCCCTGTGGGACCACACTGACCACCAGGACGCAGCTCCTGCATTGAGCATCTGCCACATGGTGGTCAGTGTACATCATAGTGACCAGTTGTTCTGCCATTTGGTCGATTTGCATATTAGCCTTTATTATATAGGATTATTATATAGGATGGAAGTATTAAAATTGTAAACATTGAAATTGAATTTAGAGCTTTTGGATTTAGCTACCAAAGTACAATTTTTAAATACCAACCAAGTGATTATGTATATCTCTAAGCACATAGGATTTTAACTTAAAGTCAGATATAAACATTCGTTTATTGCTGCAAAGAATTTCATTGAGAAGTCTGTCTGACATGTCGTTATTAATATTTGTTCAATCATTTGGATAAAATGGATGTGTTTGAGACTGTGTTGCTGCCTACGCTATTGTTTGGCTCTGATGTCTTGTTGCTTTTTGTTTGTTTGCCAGAAGAAAATTTGTCTGCTACCAATTCCAGCCCAATTTTGGAGCCAGGTAACAAATAGGGGTTTTTTTTGTGTGTAGTCATTACATGATATTTTATCTTTTTGTATACTAGGCCTTTTCTTCATATCTCTATTCAGCAAATACTCAAGCGCTTAACTATGTGCAAGGTTGTCTGCCAAATGTTAGGCTGAATAAAAGAACTGTAATATACAGTCTGAGAGCTTACAATGCAGGTGAAGTTTGTATACATACATCAGAGAGTTAAAAGCTGTACAAGACAACACAAGGAATGGTATATAATGCAGGACTTGCTTAAGTGTCATTACTAAAATGCTTAGTGTCATACTAAAGCAGACAATAGGTGTGATGGCTTCAAAGGAGGGAGAGAGCACATCACAGTTCATGCTGTAGTAGTGGAGAGATCTCTCTAGATTTGGAATTCATGAAAACATTCCCTTCTGAGCCACATGCTATATTCACACTTCCCTCGATTGATCTGATGCACTACAAAACTCATTCTCAAGTCCCATATTTTTGGGTTTTCTCCAACAGTTTGCCTCTTGAGAGTTGGCTTTATGTCTTTGAAACAGATGTGTTCTTCTAGGTCTACCTGAAGATGAAATGCAAAGTGACTGCATGACCTAAAACACTTTTGCTGAATCA